TGAGGCCAGGCAGTGGTAGTATACACCTGTAATCCCAGCACTCAAGAAACAACAGAGGCAGATAGATCTTTGTTAGTTCAAGGCCACCCTGGGATACATGGAATTGATCCAGTCTAAAGGAGAAACAGCCAGTCTGTGGTGGCTCACATCTTTAATCCCAGTATTTGGGAGTGACACACCTTTAATTCCAGCACTAAGGAGGTGGAGAAAGGAAGGGATACAGCTAGGTGGAGACAGGAATATAAGACAGGACAGTCAATCTGAGGAAGCAGTTTGAAACAGTCAGTTTAAGTAGTCTGAGGACAGCATCTCCCCTTTGGTCTTTGCATTGGTAGAGGTGAGAACTCTAGCAGCTGGCCGCTTTGCTTCTCTGATCTTTCAGCTTTCACCCCCTAGTAGCTGACTCTGAATTTTTATTATTAAGACGAATTAGAATCTGTGCTACAGCCCACTTCATATCGGATACCAAAAAAATCCTGAACAGATATTAGTAAATTCTAAACAGATATTAGTAAATGCTGTCAATTATGTGGACAAGATGAAAACTTTGCTAATGGGATTGCAGTGGTAAAGGGCTTTGGAAGCATTTGGAAGTCCCTCAAATGTAACCTAGAAATTCTACACTTAAGTTACAGCAAATAATAATAATAACAAGAAGAAGAAAAGAAAAAGAAGAAGAATAAGAAGAAGAAGAAAAAGAAAAAGAAGACTTAAAGTTTTCTTAACCAAAAATTCTCATTTTATTTTTAATATACTGGAGTGATGGCTAAGAGAGAGGAGAGACAAGGAATAAACATAGAGGGACTGGAGACAGGCAGGAAGAGGAAGAACTCAGCATTTCATGGTGGCCAAATTAAACATGTGCTGGAGAAAATGTTGGCAGGGCTCTCAGTGGGTTGCTGTAAATGAAACCTAAATTACCAAGATTCAGTCATCCCACACAGTGGGGCAAGTGGTGGCTGAGGTAGCTATTCAAAGTAAAGACCCCCACTATGCTTATTGCCTATTTGAGCTGCTCTAGCTAATTGCCAAGGTCAAGTTATGAGAAAAGTACAGGAGGGAACCAGATGCTGCTCTCATCCTACGCCAACCAGATATCTGTGGTCTGCAGATTGGAATAAAGGAAGGTCAGCAGGACAGTGTCCAGTATGCTGAGATGGTAATAACTGAATTATTTGTATTCTTTGTGCCCAACCCAAATAACCAACTGTTCTTAGTTAACTACAACTGCTACATTTAGATGAAACAATGAAATCCCTGTAACCATGCTTCTGCTTTTGTAAGCCTGCTTCTTGCCACACCAACCTTATATAAACTGCATATGCTTTAACCAGGCACGCTCACTCAGTCTCCCGAAAGACTGAAGAGTCCATAGGTACCTGTGTGTAAACAATAAATAACCTCTTGCACTTGCATCCAGTGGTCCGGTCTCGTCTCTTGGGGGCAAGGGCCTTCCCCCCTGACAGGCTCCAAACTCTTGGGGTCTGCTGGGGTCTTTAAAAAGGGTATTTTGATAAAGGTCGAGTGCCCAACAGAGGAACCTTTAGATCAAAATGTGAATCAGGATACCAAATCAAAAAGCTTGCCATAAGTTTGAGGCCAGTATGGGCTACTTAGTAAGTTCAGAGACAGCGTTAAATACATACTGAGACCACATCTTAAAACAAAAATCAGTCTCAGGACTTCAAATCATGGCAGCAAGGTCCATGCTAGGGTCAGAAGCCATAGAATAAACAGTTATCACCAGAGATAGTGAATACTCAAAAGTGAACCATTTTCTTGAAAACTTTCATGAAATTCTTCAAGAGGATGATGTAAACATTTCACAAGTGTTCCTTTACAACTGTGCCCATGGCTTCCTTTCCTGGAAGGCTTTGTTGCTTGTTTCTTTGTTTGCTTGCTTGCTCGTTTTTTGTTTTTGAGACGGTCTCACAGTGTTAACCTTGACCTTGTAGACATCCACCTGCCTTTGTCTCCCAAGTTCAGGTGATCAAAGTCCTTTTCCACCATGATTTATCTTTCTGTTCATTTTTAATTACAGTTTTACAATCAATCATAAGAAGATCTAAGAACTGTGCAAGATAAGAGAAATGAGTCAGTTTTTCAATGCTCCACATTTTGAAATTGGACCTTATAGAAATCAGGACAAAAATAAAATGCTGCCTTGTGAAAACTAAACAAACAGATGGGGGGGTTAATTGCTCAGGCTGCAAACTTTGATGTTATGTGGACCTCTTCCTTCTCCAGGGACCTCATCCAGATCCAGTCATCACTGTTTGTTGGTTTATTTTTCTCACTTAATGTACCACACATCTGTCTCTCTGTTTTCCATCTTATTACATCTCTATTAGACCAGGTGCTCATCACTTCATGCTTGAAAAACATCATGAGCAACTAATAGGGAGAAAATGAAAATGTCAGTTTCAGAGTTAAATAACTGTAAATTTTATCTTAGAGAAAGAATTTGTGTTTGTTTTAGCTGAACACCTAGATGTGTTGTTTTCATTGTTCAAATATTACAGCAAGGTTGGGATAAGCTCTGCTTGAGAAATTACCGGTGATGGTTTGGTTGGGGGGGGTGTCATGGCTTGATTGGGATTTGTAATGTATAGGAAGATAGGGAGAAAAAACAAAAGAATGAAGGAAAATTGAGCAAGTCTTGGAAAATCAAAGCCTTTGTATAATGGCTGAGGAGTTTGAAAAGAAACAGGTCTCTCTTATTTAAATGTTTTTATAACTTTTTTTATTGATTCTTTGGGAGTTTCACATCATGTACCCCAATTTTGTTTACCACGCAATCCCCCACATCCTCCCCTCATCCCTGCTATGCCACACACAAAAGGAAACACATCGAAGTAAGCAAGTAAGCAAACAAAAGCAAAACCAAACAAAAAAACCCAACCCAAACCACAACAGAAAAAAATCTTTTTGCTTCTCCTTCTTTCCTGTTTCTCCAACTCCTCTATTCTTGCCATGTCTAAGGAAGGGAAACTCCATAACAAATTTCTTTGAGGCCCATCTTCCTCTCTGAAGTAATTGGTGTTACCAGGAGCATTTGTATCTCACTGTCATCAACACCCTTAAACCATTTAAAATGCCATGTTCTGAACATCTTTGAAAGGTTTGAAGAATATCTATGCACTTGAAATGTATCTTCATATGTCTAGAAAACCTACCAAACATAATTGTAAGTGTGAACTATTATAGGTGACTCTTAGAAGCAGGCTCTAGCAAGAATGCTACCAAAACAGCCTTCCTAAACATGTTCATAGTTCAGAAAATACTGTGTGAAACATGGAAACCGTTGTGTAGACTTCAAAACCATAAAGAGATGCCAATGATTAAGCATGGTATATCTTATGGATAAGCAAATGGGGGCATAGAAAAAAAAGCACAGTTGGCAGAGTGTTTGCTTAATATCCACAAGGTACTGAGTTCAAACCACAGCTAAATAGGATGAAAGAATGTGAGAAAAGACCAAGTGGAAGCGATACAAGTATACGAAAGGAGAAAAATGAGTGATAATGGGAAAATAATATTCAAACAGAAATTGTTGATATAACTGTCCAGAAGAAAAATCATTAAATTTAGAACTTATTCCTGGATAAGTTCTTTTAGTAAATGCTTCAGGACAGTTACAATGCAGACACAATTAGAAGGCAGGAAAGATGCCAAGTTTTTTCACCATATGCCTGACTATGTCAACTGCAGAATGCCATAACACATGCTGAGAGAAAAGAATTACCCTCCTAGAGTTTTATTCTTAACCAAAGTATCACTTAAGGATGCAGTTACAATAGACACATCTCTGCATTTCCGGGAAGATCCTTTGACGAGAACTTCATTGCTTCAGCTGCTGAGTAGTAGGCACATGCCTGAGGTCATCTACTAGTGCCTTCAGCTATGGCCTACATGGCAGAGAGCTGGTTTCCCCAAGAGCACACATTTACAAACAGACCATCTCCAGAGCTGACCCAGGTGGGTGTGGCAGTGTCATTTGTTCTACATAAAGGTAGACCAGGTTACTTTCAGCATTGTCCTTGGGATTAAGAAGACTTGTTTGAACTGCATTAATGATACAGAGCTGCTTCTGACAACAGTGGCTTCTCTCTGTGTCTTTATCCTTTCCTTAGGCCTGTACCCTGAATAAATTTTGTAATACTGATTTCCATATGAAAGTCAGATTCTTTAGAACTCACACACACATACACACTCATTTTTAGGAATACATACATACATACATACATATACACATACAGTATTTAGGAATATAGATGGATAGACATACATATACATATACAAATATATATATATACATGAATACATATACAAATATATAGATACCCACATATATAAAGTGCATGTGTGTCTCTTTCTGTGTAACAACAAAGAAGAAGCCATGAATTTGAGGGAAAGAGCACACAAATTTGAGAGGGGGGAGATGTGTGGACAGACTTGGTGGAAGAAATGGAAGGGGGAATGATATAATTATAACTTCAGAAATAAAATATGTATTGTTATTTTTAAAAAGTGTAAGTAATGGTCCAAACTTGCTTAAATTAATTTATGAGACTTGAATTACTGAACTTAGGCTCTTGAAAGGTACCAGAACTGAAATATGTGGCACTTTAAGGACTTTTTTCTTTTGGTTGTGTCTTTCAAGGCCATTATAATGATCCCATAATGAAGTGATTTTTTTAAAATGTTTTAATGCCCCCATGGGTATCTTCCTTTCATAGAGAAACTAGAAGGCCCAGGGTTCCAGTTGTGAACCAGGATATTTGTGAATCACATTGAGTACGCATTCTGATTGGGTAATGTGTCGCCAGGCCGAGAAACCATTCAATTACACGCAATATGTATAGCGGCTTTGTGATAAGTTTGTTGTCCAATCAGATGTCGAGTTGGGCCCTCATACGGCACAATGGCACATGCATAGTACGTCACTCGCCTCAAAACCACTACCTTCTGTCTTCTGGTTGACTGCTTCCTCGGTTGCCATGGCAGATGCCTCTGGTATGGCCACTGGGGAGGAGCCAACCACTGAGGAGATGGCCTCTGTGGAGGAGCCAACCCCTATGGAGGAGCCAACCCCTATGGAAGAGCCAGTGACTGTGAACGAAGAAGCTTCCGAGGAGCCTGTCAAGGTCCAACCGCCTAAAAAAGCCACCTCAAAGAGGAGGGGGGAACAGCCAGAGAGGCAACATCGCTCGCATCGCCCTCTCCAGCGCCAAGGCATGATAGAAGCTCAGCAGCGCAGAGCCGCCCGCCTCATCAGACGCCATACGAACAGCTTCGCCATATATTTTCCCAAGGTGCTACGAAATGTCCATGTGGGCTTCACCCTTTCCCAGAGGTCCGTGCGCATATTGGATTCATTCGTGATGGATATGTTTCAAAGAATCGCAACAGAAGCAAGCAACTTGGCTCGTCACACGAGAAGAAGGATTATCAACTCTAAAGATATCCAGACAGTGGTTCGCCTTTTGCTCCCTGGTGAGCTCTGCAAGCGAGCAACAGCTGAAGGCACCCTGGCTCTTTTTCGATACATCTGTAAAAAGTGAACCACTTCAACTTCACCAAAACCTTCTTTTCAGAGCCACCACTTCTTCTAAGAGAGCTGTACCATCTGCTCAAATTTGACCTCAAGAACTCTCCCACCCCTTCTTCAAAAATCTCCTAAAAAATAAAACGCTATTTGTTAGACTATGTATTGACTCCTCTGGTTTATTTGGGGTTCTGCCAGCAAAGTGGTTGTTTTTCCTAATTGGGTTGTATTTCATCACTTTATTTCATTGTATTGAAAATATAAGGCAGGACAGCCAGACACAGTGGAATCTTGGAGGGGGGGGTAGAATCAGAACAGTCACCAGGAGCAGCCAAGGGAGCTGTGGACAAAGGAGCCAGGACAAGCTGGAAGATAACAGATAAAGCCACAACCTACATGGCAGAATGTAGATCAATAGAAATGGGTTAATTTAAGCTGTAACAGCTAGTTAGTAATAAGCCTGAGCTATCAGTCAGACATTTATAAGTTAAAAAAAATATTCTTTTTCTCACATACTATATCCTGATTAGGGTTCACCTCCCTCTACTCCTCCCAGTTCTTCTCCACATCCCCTCCCATCCATACCTACACTTTTTTTAATCTCTCATTACAAAACAGGCTTCTAAAGCATTATAATATAATATAACATGATATTAATATGATACAATGCAGGGCCCCCACGAGTGTCCCTTGGGGGTGGGAGAAAGTAGACACAACACTAACCACACAGGCACTGGGAACAAGTTGGAACAACAAGCTCAGTTTATTCCAGAAGAAGTAAGCCTTATATACCCCTCAATCCTGCCCCAGGGAATGTGATTCAGTGAGCTGGCATCTGCTGAGGTGATGTGGTAGCTGTCCATAGATCCACATCTCACTACACTATGATGCTGTTGTTAAGGTCCTTTGACAGACCCAAGCTGCCTGTCAAGAAATATCTATTGTACATGTGCTTACTATCTGTGTAGGCCAGCTGTCAGGTCCATTGAGGCTTATGTACCTCACAATACCATAATAATATACAATGTACTATAATAAATAATATAAAAATACTAATATATAATATAAATATATATTTCTATGATATATAATCTGTAGAGTATAATATGATGAAATAAAAACTAACATTAAAATTGGCAGAAGAAACAGAACACCCTACTCATTCACACTCAGAAGGAATCCCATAAAGACATTAAGCTTGAAGCCATTATATATATATATATATATGGGACCAGAAGGGTAAAAAGAAAGAATATATATCACAAGATAATTTTTTTACAAAAAAGGAAAAGACCCAACACAACATTGGAAGACATGGGACCTCCAAAGATGCCATTTAGTTAACTATTTTTTCATTTATAAATAGTTGTCAATTGGAGATTGCTTCTGGGTGAGAAATGGGCACATATGTTCACTTTTCCTTTAAGCTCTACCACCTAGTACAGACCTGTGCAGGCCCTGTGCATGCTGCCCCTGTCTGTGTGAGTTCACATTGTTCACATTGTTTACATTGATTTAAAGGCCTTGTCTCCTTGGTGTCCTCCATCCTCTCTAGATCTTACAGTTTGTCTTGCCCCTTCTTTGATCAGGTTTCCTGATCCCTGAGAGGAGTGATTTGATGCAGACATCTCATTTACAGCAGATTATTCCAAAATCGCTCACTCTCCACATATGTCTGGCTGTGGGTCTCTGCATTTGTTCCCAGTTGCTGCAGGAGGAAGCTTCTCTAATGATGATTGAGCCAGGACCTGATGAAAGAATACAGAGGAGTGACATCAGGAGTCTTTTATTGTTACTTTTTTTTAAGAACAGTAGGATTAGGTTCCTGGGCTATCTAATAGTCTCGGGTTCTTGTCCTCCCAAGCAGTATTGGAAATAGATTCCATTTCGTGGAGTGGGCCTTAAAGTCAATAAGATACTGATTGGTTATGCCTACAACTTTGGTTGTAGTATTTCATACAGACAAGTCATCATTGTAAATAAAATGTTTTTTGGCTGGACTAGTGTTTAGCTTTCTTATCTGGTAGCATGTGAAGTACCTTCCAGTACTATGAATACTAGTCAGTAGGAGTGAAGGCTCTAGTTAGGCACTAGACTGGCTTCTCTAGTAGATTTATTTATTTAATCTTTTGGTTTATTCATAAAAAATGGGGTTATTCATAAAAAATGGGGTTTTGGAATACATAATTACACTAGCATTCTCGAAAGCACTTCATTCTGGATTTCTTTTCTGGTCATTTCATAGGAAAATCCCTGACTCTGCAAAGTCAATTAACAGGTTTATTCTGCCCAGGTTTCTTATGACTTCCAAACAAACTATCCTTCAACAATTCCCACATCCCCCACTATACCAATGTGTTTCTGAAGCAGTGATCATAGGGAATAGCTTAGGAAGCTAGGGCTCTTCTTGGCTTACACTACGAACACACCCTTCTCCCAATAATGCACTCATTGCACTGAGGCCTTTAGCTGCATGTGCTATGCACACACATGTCTTTCTGAGCAAAACACATAGGGATATATTAGTAATTTAAGAACCCAACCTACCTTAAACTTCACTCATACTCCCTCTTAATAGAGTATGTTTTTTTTCCTGCCATAACAACAATCAAACTTAAATAGATTGTATTAAATCCTACTCCAGCTTGTCCAGATACAAATATAAATGATCTCAAGACTGGTTTTGGGTGCATATGCAATAAAACAAACTGTGTCCTCCAAGTGAACCTTTATAGAGAAGCCCCTATTATTATTATTATGCATAATTGGGTATGTCCATTATCAAAATCAGATGCATTATAGGAACAGATATGCACAATAAATACTAATGTAACTTGAATCATTCACTCAAAACAGAACCACCAAAACTATACCCCTTAGTAACCATGTTCTTTATCATGTAGCCATAAAAGGGACCCTAAAACATTAATTAGGTCCCTCGACTGCTTTCACTCATGTGGCCTGCTGTCACTCTTGACAGTGTACTTGACCTGTTCTGTTGTTTTTCTTTGATAAAATTTTCCTTGCTTCTTTGGTATCAGGTAAGCCTTTGTTTCAATTATTTGAATAAGAGGCCAAGAACCTGGAAATACCCAGCCCAGACCCTGACCGCCGGTAGCACGTCCATTTCTCAGAATCATCCAAAACCCTAGGCTTAGCCTTCTCCTGCAAGATCCCGGATTGTGGTATAGACCAAATGGGGACCTCTTTTTCTGTTTTTCTTCACCCCTAATATATGAGGCACATATGAACCAAGAGGACATGTTGTGCTTGTTGGGTCTGGGTATCACACAAATATTGAGAACTAGGTCACCAATATTAGATGAGCAGAGGCAACTTTATTCTATCACCACAGGATACCAGAACTAGTCAGGGCCACAGACAGGTCAGGTACTGACATGGTGACCCTGAACAGAGGGGGAAGCCACTTTTTAAAGCAAAAGCCATGACTAAGGGGGCCAGGGGTGATAGTGGGGAGTGTAAAGCTTGTTTACACAAGACTCTAGTTATCTTAACACAGCTCTTGACACAGCTGGGGTCTTGTCTTGATTTTTAACCAACTGTTCTTCTCACAACTGCAGAGAATATGGGACAAGGGTTATGCAACAGTGGACTCCACAGTGCTCAACCCTGTGTGCTCCCAATTGGAGTAGTTTCTGATTTCCGGGCATACTTCCACCTGTGATCCTGTACTACTGTAGTTCAAACAAGTTGGATTTCCCTTGGAATCCTTTCAAAAATCACATTCCAACTATCATTCTGTTTTCAATCTTTCCTTTTTACATTGTATTTATCGTATGTACATGTGTATGTGTAGGGGCACATGCTACAGCATAAGTGTCAAGGTCAGAGGACGACAGTTAGAATTGGTTCTCTCCTTCCATCATGTGAGTCCTGGAGATCCAACTGTTATCAGTCTTGGTTTCAAATGTGATTACTCACAGAGCCATTTCCTTTCACAACTCTTTATTCCTTTCTTTAAAAGAGACTGTCTACTCAGAGAAGTCAGAATCCAACACCAGTTGGTTAAAGTAACTCCCTCCTCAATTGAGGGAGCTGCAGATCATTATATAGCACACTCAGATAACCTAATGTGTAACTCTCCTTTGCCTCTTCATAGGGGTTAACCATCTTATCCAAAAATCGTGAACACGTTCAGTAGTGAAAAGAGTGCCATGTATAATTGTGTAGGACCAAATCAGTAAAATCATAAAGTCCAAGTCATACTTCCATGGATGGAGAAAAATTTGAATGAGGGCATTTGTTAGGAACTGAGGATTTGCAGATCACAATGGAGAAGAAGAAGTACTTTACTTTTGATTTCTTGTTCAAGACTTAATCTCTATAACTGTGGGTGCCTTTGTTTCCCTGAGACAAATGTTGAGATTAAGTTGCATTCATGGGGAGAAGAGTGTCTGTTTGAATTCTGACTGAATTCAGTCTGATTGAATGACTGATATGAGCCTGTGAGGCTGTACTCTGCTGTATTAAGAGTAATTAAGGGCACATGTTTTGGATTGGATGCAGTCTGGGCGTGCCAGTGTGCCTCTTAACTGAATTTACTACACTTGGTAAATGACTAGATTATGTCCAAGCCTCAACATTCTCCTAGGAGAACAGGGCCTTCCAGTTGTGGTGAGGTGTGGACAGGAAGCATATTCTGCAACCAGTAGTGAATATTGGCTATCCAGACCATCAGTTCTGAGAGTCATGCTTCTGGTGAAGAGAAACTGGGTGTAGGGTCTGTTCCAAACAGCTGTGTGCATGGATGTACTCTTGGCTGCCTGGATCCCATCCGTTTGCTTAGGACTGACAGTTGAGATAAGGGAGGATGACCTTTTCTCTCCTGAGCCTCGCTTTATGGCTTTATGTTACAGAAGCTGAATAGATAAGCCTGCTTTGAATAATGATGGGTAGTTGCTAGGATTATTTTGAAAGTGCTTTGTTGCATCACTAGCTGTGAGCATTGCTGACTTGGGGCTTTGTGATAAGTAAGCCAGACCTTTTCACCCTCAT